GTGCACACAATTTTCTCCGGCAGCTAGACTGCATAAATTGAGAGGGACTCTTTGAGATTGCTATCGTCTACCTTTCACCTGCACTCGGATGTTCGGGGAAGAGAGAGAGAGGAGTTGCAGGATTTAAATATGAGGATCAGTGGAGGTTGCAAAATTCATTCTGTCCATTTGGTAAAGGCTAATTTTGCATGAGACAAAAGTATTTGGTTCCTAAAATATGCTGGTGTTTTTTGTTTAGAAACACAAGCACGTGAAAGCACATCCGTGAGGAAGTGAAAACAAGAACATTAAGTGTCCAATGCATTACTCAGGGACATAAAGTTTCTTGATCGTTTTGGGGATGTTTGGGGAGGGATGGGGCAGGGATTGGGATGAAACTTTCCCGGCATGGTCATGTGCTAAGGGTGGGAACGGGAAAGTTCCCGGAAATAACCGACAAAGTTCCCGGTGGCTCTTCAAGGTGGGAGTGATACCCTCAACATGTGAATGTGTGCGTGCTATTCTGCCGAAAGTCTCCAAAAGAAGTTCCAAAACTTTTAGATCCCTACGCAGAGGTGTCGCGGCAAGCCATCTGCCACTTACCCCGTTAACCGATATTTTCTTCTCTCGGCCGAATTTATCAATTTTCTGAAACGATTCCGTCTATATTTCTAATTTTATCCAGAATCCCAAAATGTCTAAAGCTTCTCTAGGTAGGGATACCCAGATCAACACTTTACGGAAACTTCTTCTAATCGATTGCCATGCTTTAAAATTTCCGCCAGTCAAAAATTGCGGAAAAAGGCGATATTTCTTAGTAATTATGGTGGGGAAAAATACTACAGAAATGGAGAGGAGCAGTAAGTAGTTGGTTTTGAATTGACTACACCAGTAGAAAATTCGAGAGGGAACCAAATGTGAGCTTGGTTCTTTCCTCAGAGTTACTTTGGTTCTTTCAGCATTCAGAAGAGGGGGACCTGGGCCAAGTTACTAAACTTTTACAAAAAATTAATTCTTTCTGCAATTCCTAGTTTGCAAAAACGACGCTAGGATTCAACAACGTTTCGATTTTGAAAAAGGATTTCACGGGACAATTTTCATCTAAAATTTTGCTGATTTTTGCATCTAATTAGAGGGGAAATTACTGAAATTTTGGATCAGAAATACACAACAGTTTTCTGGTAGAGGTACGCTTAGCGAGCGGGAATTTCGTGACATTGCAAGTTTGCAAAAACGACGCAAAACACTTATCTTTAAAAAGAACTGTCGCTAGGTAATTTTATTCTAAAATTTTGCTGATTTACGCACCTTAATCAAAGGAAAAATTATACATTTCGGTCTGGGAAACAACGCATTGTACGGCTTGTGAATGTCGAAAACAGATGGTCAAACCACACATTTTGTCAAATGCCTAGGCAAATAGTCAAATATTCTTAATTGGATTGAAATACTTACTTCTTTTTACTAATTTTGGACAAAATCTTCATCTGCTTTTGAAGAAAAGAACTCTTCAAAAATTTGCACCAATAAGTATACAATGACTTTCAGGCCGTCAAGGAAAGTGTATCTGTTAAAATTTGACTATCTACCTAGACATTTGATAAAATGCCTGAATTTGCTACTCTGCCACCCTCCTGAAATAAGGGCTTAAGTACACTCTACAATAAATCCTGCTGTCCACACAATTCAATGATTTCGCGGGCTCATCTCAATGTGTAGTTACGCTCCTGGTAAAAATTGGCAGTAAGTAGAATCTGTGTTCCAAAATACCATAGACCTACAGCCGGCTGTAAGATTTCCAATAGCTCTTATAGCCTTTTATAACCGATGGCGATTAAGCAACAGCCTGGCGATAAAGTGTATGCTAAACGTTACTAATTACGGATGCTAGGACTTAGTTAGTTTTTGGACTACCGCTCTCTTTTTGGGCCGCAGTATCTTGATTTATTTTGCGAGGAAAGCTCCGTACTTTTGAAGGATGCCTGCCATTCCTAATATGTTGGAGCGCCTTCAATTTCGTATGATACTGTGCAATACCTCTGATGTGAAATATTTGCTTCAAGCGCCGTGGTAGACTGCGGCGCGAAACGCGCATTGGCGCCTACAAACCCAACAGGGATACTTCACGCATTGCGCAATGCGTGAAGTATCCCTGTTAGGTTTGTCGGCGCCATTGGGCCGCCGCTCCGCTTTGTGTTGGGCTCTAATATTTAATCTCGTGGGGTCAGCGTTTTTCAACTCATGACTTTAAAATGTTTGCATCCTCTGTATGGATTATTCTCATTTTAATTGATGAAAAAAAATATGTAGTAAAGGAAAATATAATGTGCGTTTTGTAAAATATTAAGGTGATTTCGTGCAAACTTAAGGATTTCCAAAGCACACGAATTTCTACACAATTTCTTTTAGCCTTTTATAGCCGATGGCGAAAAAGCTACAGCCAGGCGCTAAAATGTAAAGCCCGGCGATAGGAACTATAGCCCGGCTGTATAATTTTTTGTCGCTTCGTGTAGTCCGGCCGTATGATTTTTTCCACTTTCTACAGCCAGCTATACGATTTTCTATCGTCTTCTTCAGTTGGCTATAAGAACTCCTATGGTATTTTGAAACGCAGCTCCTATCGCCAATTTTTACCAGGGGCCCTTTGGTTAGCCGGGCGACGATTTGCCTGCGACATAAACCCCTGAACCACGATGCCATCCATTCATTCCTGAGTTCAAGAGCACCCAGTTTTCGACTGGACCCACTGATTCATGAGAAAGTTGCCGGTTAGGAGATCGGGGGGTCGGCGGGAGGATCCCTAGCGCTGGCAACGCGGACGCGTTCGAGGGGACGAAGGGCCGGCGCGCATTGCTCCCGTCGAGTCCCTGCTCCCGTTGAGGCGTTTCAGCTCATTTCAGCTTCTGACAAGTGACAAGGCCACCGCCGCGATCCCGACCCGGGCGCTGCACCGTGCCACCGGAACAAACCCATGACTCACACTTACCATCTCACCAAACCGGAGACACTTGTTTTAGCTCTCGCCGCCTCCCTCCCGCCCTTTCGGATAAACATTCCTTCTAGACCCTTGCAATCTAGAAACTACACTCAACAAAAAGTTACGGGCTGTACAGGGTGTCCCAGGACTAAGTACGAATATTGAAGGAGTCAATTCTTTGGGTCAAAAAAAGACGTTTTTGTAGTAAAACTTTTATCCAAAAACGCTTACCCTACGGGCAAGTTGGAGGGAAAAAATCGTCTTTTTAACACCGTGACAATGTTTATCGACCGATATTACTTAATGAAAATTGGTAACTGGAGGTAGTTTCTGGCGCTCTTTTTATTTCTGACCTCCAAAAAAGGAACACTTGTTTTGAGAGGGGGAAGGGGTTTCNGGGGGGGGGGGGGGGGGGTATCGAACCTAAAAGTGGCCAAAATTAATTTTTCTAGCAACAAAATTGATTTTTAATGGCATCACTAGAGTCAACGTAGAAAAATATTGAGAAAATGTATTGCGTTTATTCGCTATGACTCATCGTTGTCGAGATGATAGCGACTGAATGGAGCACGGTTGGGTGCGAGGGTGGTGGAGGGCACGGGGTGGCCTAAAGGGAATTTTTGGAAAAGAAGTTATACCGCAAAGTCATCTTTTTTTACCCAAGGTATCGACTCCTTCAATATTTGTACTTAATCCTGGGACACCCTGTATACTGTCATGCTAAGGAAGAACGCTGTATGAACATTCGAGAGTTGCCAGATTTCCTTTGATAAAACGTTTATTTTTGGGGAATGTTATGAATATTTTTCCTTGAAATTTTCAGGAACTTCTGGTGAAACTGCGAACAAAATTGGAATGGAACTGTTCATAAGTTTACCAGGAAATTTGCAAACTACAAGCATAGAGGAATCTGCTGGGACCCATTGAAAATTACAAAGAGGCAATCTGAACTGCACCACCAGTACTCTCCTAACAACGAACAGTATTGTCAACAAACGTGCCTGCATGTTTATACTGTAAATTGAAGTTGCACAGGAGCAGAGCCAGAATTTGGTTGATTTGAGCAGATACACCAAATGACCGGGCTAATCGTTGCCTATGAGAATTGAGAGGCCGTAACTTTGTTTCTGTGACATCCTGCTTGTAGATGAAACGCGGTCGCGGTTAAACATGCAAACAATTCTTATGAAAGAACGCATGACGCGTGTTTCTGACGATCTTCTCAGGGATTAATGTAATGCAAAAATTCATAAGAGCTTTTTCGAAAGAGGATGAAATTTTATTTCAGAAAACTGCTCAGTTTACTAATGATGAAAAAAAAATGTTATTACTCCACTAAGATTCAAACGCGCCTCATGCAACTATGGCTGCTTCAGAACCACTCTGATTGGTCAATGTGGTAACTACTTCACTCATCGATGCTCTGATGATCCAAAGACGATTGTTGTTATTTATTAATATCCATAAGTTCGATGTCACAAAACAGAGAAGTTATGGCCTCTCTATTCTCGTAAACAACAGGCTAAGTTAAGTTCCTTTTGGGCATTTGATCGACTCGTGACATAAGTAATTTTACCTAGATGAGGTGGTTAAGACCAATTTGGCTAACAAAACTATCTACCTGCATAATGAGAGGGCTATACAGTAGGCATAATTAGCGAATGTTGGACAAAATTAGCATTAAAACACTGTAACTTCAGAAAATCAGATTTCAAAAGCAGCATCCTGTACCAAGACTTCATCAGGAGCTGATGCCTAACCAAATCTTGTTGCATGTCTGAACACCCCTGAGTACATCTAGGCAACATTACTTAAAAAATATCGAAATAAACATCTTCAATTGAAAATCTACAAGATCCAAACATTGGACACTAGGACTTCGTCTGCTAAAGTATTATTATGTACTACTGAGGTATTTTGTTTTTTAGAATGGATATCCAACATCTGAGAAAGGCTGAACTCTGCTTTAACGGAGTACAGGTGTTAAAGCTAAATGCAATCCCACAAAAGTGGAACTAAAACCTAAATATTAATGAAAACATACCTTGTACACTTTGGAGTAAAATCCATTTCCAATGTGTTCACAGGAAAAGTCATCCAAGCGGTTGAGTCCCATGACAGCATGCCGAAGTGCTCGACAAGATGGCCCTGACATGAGACAATCCTTAATTTTATCTTCCATCGTAGTTTCAACAATTGATGTTGGGCACTGAAGATCATTGCTGCTTGGTTCCGGGGTGTCACAATAACCACTATCACTACCACTATACATTATCTATCAATAGTATCAACTCTCATTGCTGGGCTCATTCAGCGTTTTTAAGTCTTTAAAACTTAGAGTTGCCTCAAGATACAACTATATGATGACTACGTAAACCACTTCATGTTCATTAGATCGAGAAACACTATTGAAGTATCTAAAGCAAATTCAATGAAGAAAAGAATAGGTAATTTAATGTCGATGATGTTAGTTGATAACGAGATAAAAACTGAAGTCCAAAAGCGAGAATGCTGGAAGCTTCATAGGTATTTGTACACTGGGTCTGTGTTAGCAAATTAAAAGGGTTCATCACTCTCCTAAAGGTGAAAGAAATTTCTATGGTTTATCACAAAAATGTGGGCTATAAATTTATAGCTGAAGGGGAGAAACGTCCAGGGTAACCTAAATTTTCCACTTGATATGAAACTCCAGGACGAATTTTGAATTGAATTGTGAAGAAATCCGCTTCCGACTGCTGCGTTGATTTGAGTAGTTTAGTATGACGGCGCGACACCGACATTGCACAGTAGAAATTAGAGATGAACTGAATTTTTTCAGCGGTAACTAATCAAAACAAAAATAGGTAAGTCAATTGGTCCATGGCAGAGGCACGGCCGATTTTCTGTCACTTGGTGTATCGCGGACGGCGAAAAAAGTAACTTTCCTCGACGAAGGGATGGATAACTGAAAGGACACTGATAAGATACTCCGAATCGAAAGAAATACAAAACATGAAAAATAATTGACAGAAGCAGATGACTTGCTAATCACTTCTAAATAAGTCTGCTCGGACAAAATGGATTCACTCGCGACTTCGAGACACGGGCATTAGTCTGCTGAAGATTGGCCAGAGTGCGCTGAAAGCAGCACAACAAAAAACCAATAACATAAAACTAACCTCAAATTTCGGATGTGAATTGTGAATTCAGAATTATCAATTCTCAAATCCGGAATTTCTGAACAAATCGTCCTCTGAACTATGTTCATCAAATCCATCTTGACTATGTGGAGTTGATTTTAACACGTAGACCTGCAGTGATAGTGTTTGAGAGTCGTAAGTATATATTTGATAATCTTCATTCAACTCCTCGTCTCGCATGTTTCCAAAACGATCACTCCCTCCTGTATCAGCTTCATCGTATGCGTTAAATAATCCTTGGATGATATGGACGTTTGAGATATCGTTACTGTGATTTTCTGTGTCAATATGTTTTATCCCTTGTTTTTTCAGGTGATCACTGTCAGGAAATAAAAATGCCACATGGTGATACATTGAGACGTTAATCACTGGCACCTCTGATTCCAAGCATGGAACAGATGAACTACTGTTGATAAGATCAAAGTTCTTACAGGAACCCTCAAAACAACCCTCAAAATTGCTGTTTCACCCAATTGAACTTCTTAATAACCAATTTTGCAAGGAATGGAAATGAAAAGTAAATACTCTGGAAATTTTCAACTGTTTTCGCTTGAAGACGCAGCACTTTTGCTGTGTCAGGTGCAAGCAGCATTGTTTTGATGCAGTTGCTATGAGGTTGTGTGGTTTACCTGTTCGAGGAGGCAGATAAATGTGATCTACGTAATCACCACAACTTCTACCTACCTATTTATGCATTTTCAAATGCTCTAAAATTCGCTTTTCAATTCTAATTTTCTCAAATATGGCATGTATTAAGTTTCATTTTAAGAGCTCACTATGCTGACAATGCTGTAAAGAACATCATATTTAATTATTATCATGAACTTTAACTGGCACTGACTTCCTTGATTTTCTGTGCAGGGTCCTTCAATTTGAAATTACTTAAAAGTAATATCATATAACGAGAGTTGGTTCACTTCTAGTTTTTTATCCTTGTATGTCAGTACTTGTGTGCCATGTTTCATCTTCCCTCTGTTTTACACTTGAAAATAACTTACTTCTTTTCTCATTTTTCACAGAGTCAAGATGAATCAAGCCCTTATTATCACTCGCAACTTGAGCAGTGCAACAGCAGCTGTGACTAAAATTCATCGCTCAACATATGCTCGCGTGTACAAAGCTGTGATAGTCAAGCCAGATGGTTCCACAATTAGGACACGTTGTTATCCTGAGCCAAGGCTCATCATTAAGGTACTTATTAACTATCTGTATGTAAATTTCCTCTAATTTTTTGGCAGTTATAATATGGAATAAATTGCACTCCTCAGTAATAACCATGTAATTGTAGGATAGCTCTCGCAGGTAACCAACGAGGGCTAGTCCTTTCTTCATAGTTGCAACTTTTCTTCATGCTTAGCATATCATTATGTATAAGATGTGGGTTTACCAATGGAAATCTCTCTGCCTGTGAAGACTGAGTTGAGATTTTTCTTGTTTTTACTCTAAAGACATTTTAAGACTCTGGCAATTAAGTGGTATGGCAGCCTATTACCTTTAGTTCTTTGCGTCAAATGAAAATAAGATTACAACAAATTCTCTCCGTATCTGGGCTGCATGTATTTCCTATATTTTAAATCAATATGATTGGTTTCAGTGTTTACAGGATGATACTTACGGATTTTTCTTTTTATTTGTGTTACAGCTCCCACTTGACCTGAATGAACTAAGCGATAAAGATAAGCAGATTAGATTAGCACTTAGAAAACCAAGACAACAGGTAAAAGTTCAGGAAGACATAGAACATGATTTCGATGCAAAGAAATACTTACAATTTGTTAAGAAGGTAAAAAAGTGAGTTAGATGTAAGTTGTTGTTTTAAAAGAATTTTTTAGTTCTGTTCATTATTAATATAAATAGTTTGGTTTTTTTTTTTTTACCCAGGAAATAAAAATGTTTATAACTTTGAAGATTCAATAAGTAAATTATTTCATTTTCTTCCTGTCTCAAACTCTTGTTAATGTAGTTAAATTGGTGCATTTACCCATGTCAAGTGAGACTATCTAGGACTTTGGAAAGAAAAAACCTGTCCATCTAAAAGGTAGATTGGATTCCAGGAATTGGAGCTTTTAGGTTGGTCTCTGGCAAAGTTTATTTTTAATGGAAGAGAAAGAGCCATGTCTCGTAATTATTAAGATTAAACTGAAATTCTGTCAATATTTATGATATAACTTTTATACATTATACATACTATATAAATGTACATGCAAGTTTTTCACTGCCTATTTCACGCGGATAAACCAACATGAACATTCTAAAGTCTGCTGATATTTTTCTGAGTTGTGATGAAGAAAATTATTTTAAGTCAAGTTCTTTCGTATGCTTTTGTTTAAAAAGGAAAAGAAGTATGACTAGGAACCTTTGTACGAGCAAAAATGGCCCCAAAATTTTTAGCCTTTGAAATCAGCAGGCACGAAGACTTGAAAAATGAAACAAAACAAACTGGCTCACAATCCACATTATAATCAGCTTGCTTTTACATCTATTATATAAAGCTTATTATCCTTGATTATATCTCTCCAAATGATCAAATAATAAAATAATTTAGACAGGAATAAAAGACTAAATGCATGAATAAATAAACAGGCGGTTTTCACACAAAAAAGTTGAAGAAAGCAACGATATAGAGGTCCAAATCATCTGATAAATCATTGATTTTGCAGCTAAGCAGATAAAGAATACATATCTGTATTGAAAGATTGATAGTTTCGAAACCACCAAGATATATTTTAGGTCATTTCCTCCATATTGGATTTTTTAATTTTGATGATTTGACTGAAAATTCAACCTTTACTGTGAGAAAATATCCCCTGACACCCAACTTTCACAATAATCGATCAAGCAGGAGCTGAAACATTATTTTAAGACCAAATCCTTCATCTTGCATTTTCGAATTTTGAAATTTTAGTTGAAATTCAAGTTTCCTGTCGGAAAATGCCACTTGGTGCCAAGTTCCACAAAAATCGCGCGAAAAAGAGCCGTATATCGTAGGATCAGTACTGCCGTGCTAAGGGAAAACGCCGTATGAACCTTCAGGCGTTGCCAAATTTCCTTCGGTAAATCACCAATTTTTGGGAAAATTTGTAAATATACATCCTCCAATTTTTCACATAATTTTGTGCGCAATTTCAACTTAAGTTCCTGAAAATAACAAGGAAAAATATTCACGGCTAACTTCAAAAATTAACATGTTATCGGCGAAAATTCGGCAACTCTCGAATGTTCACACGACGTTCTTCCTTAGCACGGCAGAGAAGGATTCATCACAGAGATGAGTGATACCAGTCAATTTGGGTACGTCAGTGCGCCTTCAATTCCGTCTGATACTTTGCAATACTTCGGTGGTGGAATAGTTGCTCATAGCGCCTTGCGCCTTGCGCCTTCCGACAGAATCGCTTTGATCTGATGGCAGTAGATCACGATTACCGCTGAAATCACACACTCGCCAGTGCTCAGTGACACATTTCCTCATAACCAACAATGAGGTAATAACATACGTAGCTCAATTTGCGACGTTGCAAGTTTTTCACTGCCTATTTTAAGCGGGTAAATCATTATGAACTCTCCAATAACTGCCAAGATTTTTCTGAGCCATGATGAAAAATACCATTGTAATGTTTCATTAATCAAGTCTACTTGTATGTTTTCGTTAAAAGGGGAAAAGGAGTATGAATAGAAATTTGAACGAACGAAGACAGCTCTGAAATTTATAGCCCTGCAACGCCTAAAGTCACTAGCTTTAAATTTTTATAAGTCCAGCGGCATTTCGGAAAATTTTGATGTTTAGGCGCCGTGCTTTGGTACGGATTTCGTAGGTATCAGCCGTAACATCCAAAGAATTATGTCCGTGGAGTTAGCACCCCGACTTTTAAAATTTAAAATTTTCTCTTTTGCTCATCATTGCTCATCATTTGCTCACCTCGAAAGTTGCTTTCATTTTTTTTGCTCAGGCATGTACCCCCCAAAAATCGAACTTGAACTTTCAGAGAGGTCATTGACCTTAGCACCCCCACTTTGTCCGATTGACCTGAAAATGGTCTCAAACGACGCAGAATCATTTGCTCACCTTTGCTCAGCCCTTAGTTTTCGTTGCTCACCTCCCCCTTCCCCCCCCAAAATGAAAGGCGGTATTTTGGGGGACATCAAAGGCAGCACCCCCACTTTGTCCGATGGAGCTGAAATTGGTGTCAAACGACGCAGAATCATTTGCTCACGTTTGCTCAGCCCTTAGTGTGGGTTGCTCACCCCCCACTTCCCCTCCGAATCGAATGGCGGCATTTTGGCGCACATCAAAGGGAGCGCACCGACTATGTTCGCAACCGCCATTCGTTTTCGGGAGGAGGTAGGATTCGGGCAACGGANTGAACGCAATACGGACATCCGTCGAGGTTGTATAGTTGTATCAAGGCGCCGTAGCAAACGAGTCCCATTGTTTATCGATACAGACGAACATAAGTTGAGAGAGGAAAGTCATAATGCCTTCAATTTTATGCATACATATTTTTGGGCAAAATGAGGGACGACGTTCCTCCATTTGCGACGTTGCAGACTTCCTTAGAAATTTTATTTTTCTTTCGAGAAGCTGGTCTACATAAAACTTAAATTCTCCATGATTCTTCGCATTCGATAGGAGAAGATTTGGTTCAAAATTTAAAGTCGTAAATTTGGATCGTTTCTCATGGAAGAGATGAAATAAGAACGGAAATTTTGAAACACCGCAGTGGAGATACGTGGTTTCGCATGTCCTTTAAGTTAGCACCCCGACTTTTAAAATTTTAAATTTTCTCTTTTGCTCATCACTGCTCGTCATTTGCTCACTTCGAAAATCACTTTCATTTTTTTTGCTCAGGCATGTACCCCCCAAAAATCTAACTTGAACTTTCAGAGTGGTCATTGACCTTAGCACCCCCCCTTTGTCCGATTCACCTGAAAATGGTCTCAAACGACGCAGAATCATCTGCTCACCTTTGCTCAGCCCTTAGTTTTCGTTGCTCACCTCCTCCTTCCCCCCCCCCTCAAAAAAAAGTGATTGGCGGCCTTTTTGGGGACATCAAAGGCTGCACCCCCACTTCGTCCTATTGAGCTGAAATTGGTGTCAAACGACGCAGGATCATTTGTTCACTTTTGCTCAGCCCTTAGTTTTTGTTGCTCCCCTCCCCCTTCGCCCCAAAAATGAAAGGTGGCATTTTGGGGGACATCAAGGGCAGCACCCCCACTTTGTCTGATGGAGCTGAAATTGGTTTCAAACGACGCAGGATCATTTACTCACGTTTGCTCAGCCCTTTGTGTCCGTTGCTCACCCCCCACTTCCCCTCCGAATCGAAAGGTGGCTTTTTGGCGCACATCAAAGGGAGCGCACCGACTATGTTCGCAACCGCCATTCGTTTTCGGGAGGAGGTAGGATTCGGGCAACGGAAACGAAGCGCTGAGCAAAGGTGAGCAAATGATCCTGCGTCGCTTGACTTCAATTTCAGCTCAATTGAACAAAGTGGGGGTGCTGCCTTTGATGTCCCCCAAAATGCCGCCTTTCATTTTGAGTGGGACGGAGGGGTGAGCAACAAAAACTAAGGGCTGAGCAAAGGTTAGCAAATGATTCTGCGTCGTTTGAGACCATTTTTAGGTCAATCGGACAAAGTGGGGGTGCTAAGGTCAATGACCTCTCTGAAAGTTCAAGTTCGATTTTTGGGGGGTACATGCCTGAGCAAAAAAAATGAAAGCGATTTTCGAGGTGAGCAAATGATGAGCAATGATGAGCAAAATAGAAAATTTTAAATTTTAAAAGTCGGGATGCTAACTTCACAGACATCACAAAATTCGGCGTATTTATGCTTAAAGGAACTAAGTGCGTGGGGTTTACGTGTAATATTCCAAGTAGGATGCCCAGGACCGCTCGTCCTGTCACGATCAAATATTCTTATTTGTCTCAGGGCTCATGTCTTAATGCACTTAGTTCTGTTTGACAGAAATACGTCCAAATATCGGCAGAATGCCAGTGCAAAAATGAAGAAATTAAGGTCTTTATTGCAATATTTTAAATAATGAAGGAATCAAGAAGTTCTGCATGTTAACTCACGCAACACGCAAAGATATCGTGAGATTTTGTAGTGAACATCTTGCTCGTACGACTTCCAAATTCCGGGTATCTCCTCTAAACCGGATAAGAACATGATGAACAATAAATAGCCTGCAATATTGAGGATAGGCAACTTTCTATTCCTCAAAGTTCGCGATGGAGCTCCTCTTCAAGGAGTCTCTCACTACTCTCGTATACCAGATGCTGTCACTTTGTACATGCAGATGACAATCTAACACTTTTGTTTCCAAATTATGATTGAAAATTTTCAAAGGTCGTTCTGAAATTGACAATAATTGTACCTACTGGAAGCATAGGGCCTCTGTTTTTTAATTTTCTTTTTTAGGAGTGTAAACTTTTGCCGACGAGACAAATCCCTCAAATATACATTGATGACAAAACCAGAACATGACAACATTGCAAATTTCATGTTGAAATTGATAATTGGAAAGGTACCGTTGAATTAATCCCAAAAGGTTTTGGAAAGGTCTTGGTCCTAAAGGTTTTTGAGAAAAAGAGGGATTGGAAACTTTGAGTGTTCTTTGCCCCGATTGATGCACTATTAGCTGCCGTAAGCTGTGATATAATTATCTCATTATTTTCTTCCTCCACCCCGAGGGCCCTTCCAAGTAACTTTCATCGCAAATTTTTATCCAGGCTCTAACCAGTCGCATGGCGTGGGTGTTCATCGACTAACCTGCTATTTAAACCCATGGAAAGGATCGATTGTTATCAAGGCGTTCGCAACGAACACCGTAATAATCGAGTGTTTAGTATAGCTTTAATGGAAAAATATCGATAGTCAATTATCACGCCTTGCCACTGGTGGTTCTATCTAACTAATTTT